GACTCATGGATGTAGAACACATTGGTTAGGAACAAACAGGAAATGTAACTCAACCGTCCTAAATCCACTGTGAGCTCAGCATGTTACACAGCAGCTACAGTCATTTAATTAAATAACTCCAACTGCCATGAACTGACCTTTCGCATAACAACAAGTAAGCCCTAGACATCAAGCTGCACAATCGTCTGCTTAGAAGCAGCCCCTAACCTTTCTTGCATCTGATCAACTGTAAAGATTAGAGTTACTGTGCCAGGAGTAGAGCAGTTTACAGGGAGGGTAGTATCTCAGCTGGGAGGGGAAGAGAGCTACAGCCAGCCCTATGCATTATTTGTTTCCATCTCCAGTAGCTAATTCATACAAAGTTCTGAAAGCAGAACTAGCAATCATCATCCAGCTTTTGCAGAAAGAAACCAGCCTTAAAAAAAAAAATCTAGATCTCTTTTCTATGCAAAATAATGTATGGAACAACTGCCTAAGGAACAAATGCTTCAGGGTAAGCAGTCACATGTTGCCTATCAACTAATTAATGTATTATGAGTAGGTCTCCATTTATACTTATGTGAACCAGCTGAACACAATATGCCATACCACAGCTACATATAGTAAAGCTTTAATTAGGCAGCCCTGACAATCAGCAACATTGGTAGCTCCAAGGATCTACAGCCAGAGGTCCTTGGCAGAAAGGCCATCCAGAAGGGATGCAAGGTACACTGCTCTTTTGTGAGGCATGACTAAAAAGCTAGTAGAAATACTTTTCTACTAAAAGCCTCATCCCCTGAAGTGGGGTAGGAGGTATGTGTAATTGTGCTCTCCTCAAGTAAGAGGACAATGCAGACAGACTGACCATCTGGGTGAAACACAGGCATAGGATAAGAGTTTTATTTCAAGTAAGTCTGTGATTAGAATTTGTTTAAAAAGTAACAACATTGTACCGAAAGGGCAATTCAACCCATATCACTGATCATTAACATCAATATTCACCCGATATTCCCTGTTCCTAGGGAAATATAGGCCCTGTAGCACAACCCAAAGACTGGCACATGTAGGCTGTGCCAGGCTAATAGAGAGACCTAATCTGGTGGCAGAAGACCTTTAATCGAAGGCCATCTCTTGATTAATGGTTACGTTTTCTCTTTTTTTCTTTATTGGAAAATCTTTCTCTTCTTGTGCTACTCTACAGCATCTGAAAAACAGCAGCTGTAGGAATTGAATACCTATTTAGGACCAGCGTTAGTCAACACTGAGTTACATATAAAAAGTAACTTGAAGTAAGAGTACAGGTTTAATTTGCCCCTTGCAATCAACAGACCATAATTTAAATTGTTGGTATAGTTATGAGCTATACAAAGGATCACAAGCCATGTTTCAAGATCACACCTCTTATCTACATCATTAAAAATTTATGTACAATACTCCAAAGAGCAGAATCCTACAAGAAGTGAGGGGGAAAAGCCCCAGTAATTTACCTGTCCATTATGCACCACTCTTAGTATCCTGAGTTCTGTGGGTTTGTACTTGGCTGATTTTTTTAAAAACATTTTCTACATACTTACTTTCTCAACTTTCCATATCCTCATAAAGGATATGGAGATTGACAAGAATCAAACTGCACCCACCAGCTGCAATTGCCAATTTTATGTTACACAAGCTCCCCCGCATTGCTAACTTCACTGGTGTGAATTACAATACCCAGTTGTCAATTCTGCCTGCTTCTTAAGAAACGTGGAAAGCTGCAAAGCCTTGCTGAGGGAAAACAGGATGGCTGCAGGCTAAAGTTTGACAAATATATGCTGCAACTACACAACTACAAAGCAAGGGGCAGAGAGGATGCAGGAGAGCAGAGATTCTTCCCATAACACTGGTTTTAAATAAATGCTGCTCACAGGAACAGCAGACTATTTCTGAATAGCTCAGATCTTCCTGTTTCAAAGTTACAACATAAAGATACCAGTACTAGATGACAGTTTTTATAGGAAAAGTAGTGTTTGATCTATGTTGCTAGGATAGGTCCCCTTCAAACAGTTGTTTGAATTTTTTTTTTTTTTTTTTTTAGGCTGGGACAGGAATCTCTGATATGGCAGTTTTCACAGAAAAAAAACCTTCCCACAAGATCTTCTGCAAGAACAGTATTTAAGTTTCATTTATGTGTGTGTGTGCATGTATGTAAAAGAAAACTATACAACACATACAAATACATAACACACACTTCCATTATTATTTTTAGGTGTAGGAAATAGCATAGAAGGCAAGACAAAGATGATTGACCAATTCAGAGCAAGCATAAAGAAGACTTAAGCCAATTATTTTACTTTCACTGTAAGAGAATAGGAACACGTTCAGAGTCAGTGACTGCATCTCTGAGTACATCTTAACTTACCAACCTTTTAAACATCTGATGCTGACCAAGCTACATACTTTTTATAAATTATTTGCGTAAAAAGCACAGCTATGCTGACAGGAAAACAACGTTAACTCATGTTATCAGGCAAAATCTTAGTACTTGGCTATTGGAAGACTGATTACACACAAACTACCTGTGTCACATTACAGTAGTCGGACTACTATTGCAGAAGGTAGAAGTGCTATGGCTTTTCTCCTATAAGTAGACATACACAGTATCCACATTTAAACTAATTCCGGAGGATGCAGTCAGATGAAATACAAAACTACATTTCAACATTTAAAGACTTCTTAGCTTCAGTTAGGACAAATGGACTTAGAAGTTAAAGCTAATGCAGTGAGTTCTATTTAAGCACATGGTTTAGAGCAAAGCTCAGTCGGAAGCTGAACGTTTTTAAAAATACAGACTAATACTTCTTGTGTTTGAAGTCATGGTTTAGCCTTGACTAGACAAACCCTGAAGGAGCCAGTCCTCCTCCTCCTGTTTTTTCCCCCTTCCCATTGCAGTGACTCACATAATATGTGCTGCAAATAGAGTTTACGAGGCTGTTAAGATCAAGCCCATCCATAAGCCCAAACACCCTTTCAATAATAAAATGAACATATAAACCTACCTAGAATCTTGTTAACATACACTTATATGCCACAGGTACTGACAAATACTAGAACAAAGATGGTTATGAAGGAGGAGACCAAAAAGAGCAAGTGGCACATAAGGGGAAAAGAATTTCAGAAGAGAAGCAGGCAAGAATGTGTAAAAGTTTAACTATCGCGATAAAATGCCCATTTTTAAATGAAACTCCGCACTTGAGCCAAGCGACTTTAGTGTGCTTTACATGAGGCCCTCAGAGTGGGAAATGTCTCATTCATTCTTGTTTCTAAAATTGAACACTGAAGATCTGAATGCTTATATTATTTACACATGCCATGCTTGCACGATGAGCCTGTAATTCACAGTACTAAGGAAATCTGTGGGGTGGGAGATGAGAAGGGGAAAGGGAAGGGGAGATATCAAGGATTGAAGACATGAGGAAAGCCATCTGCAGCAGTCATTCAAATGGAACAAAGAGAAGGTAATACTCTTCTACACAAACATACCTCGCATATAACCACAGAAAAAATAATTGCAATGTTCTCTTTAAAGACATCACATTAGCTGTGGATTTTCCTCTAGACAATTTGTTTATTTTCAAGACAAAAAGTCTTCTTTATCATCTTTTTTTTTTCTTCCTTTTTAAATACATGGTACTCGCATTTAGTTTGTATAAACATTTAATAACAGGTAACACTGAGAAACTTACCTCAAAGTACACTGGGCTATGTATAACCTTCTCATTCTATTTTTGTACCGCGCCAGGACTCCTGAAACTAACCTGATAAGAACAATTTCAGTAGAGTACAAACATTTCATGGATACATATTCCAGTTTTGTTTTCTCCAGCAGTAAAACTTGTTTTCTAGTACTTTAAACAAAAGTAAAGACATCCAGAATATAAGTGTTCCTAATGTAAATTCAATAAAATTTTCAGTGCATTTTACTATTGGTGGCAGTGACCCAGGCTCCTTCCATACTGTATCACAAGAAATGTCTGAAAATAAATATCTGGTTTTCCCCAGCTAAACATCATTTTTCAGCTACATACACAGACTATCAATATATAGACAAGTACAATACCTGGTCTTTTATTATTAAATATTTTCACTGGAGTGCAATGAACCTGAACTTAACACTCCCCTGTTTAATAGCCTCCTGTAAATGCCTAAAATATCAATCACACCATATCAGAACAGTCAGGAGCTTTAAACTGATCCCTGGCATATCTTGGGCACATGTTCCACTGATGTTTGTGCAGACTGATGTCAGGGACAGCTTAATTGCCTAGGTTCTCTATTAACTGTATTACCAGAATAAACACTACGCTTTCTAATATCTTAAAACAACTTTAAAAGGTTTTTTTTCCCCTATAGATTTATTGTAAGAAAGTACCAGTCATAGAGGGATAAATTCAAATATCTATATAAGGCCAGGAAGGTGATTATTGATGTCGGTATATTTGCCTGTAGGATTTGAGACTGAAATGCCATTCTTCATTTAAAGCACAAGACCCTGTATCAGTCTGGAGTTTGAAATTCTTTTTCTAGTCAGTCCAGATTTACTGGAAAAATAGGTAAAGCCAAACGAGAAGATATTTTTAACATAGCCACAAGTTAGGAAACGCACGCTCCTATTACAGCCCCACCTAGAACGGGCATTTGGCAAATGGGGGACCGCTCATTTTAAGGTCTTTACGGACAGCCCTGTTTCTGAAATTGCCACTCAGGAGGTTCCCAATTCTCAAAAGAAGTAGGTGTTGGGAGAACTTCTACCCTAGCTGAAGCGTCATACGTGTCGTCAGAGTTTGTTACTTCGGCTTAAGCAAGAGGAAGAAGAAAATTTCACAGAGATTTAAGCAGAGAGGCACCCGGCACTTGCGATCAGAGCAGCCCGGCCGCCAGCAAGCGCCCACCAAACACCACCACAGCCACTTTTACCCACACTTGTCCCAGTTTCAGTAAAACCGAAAGCCTTCGCCCCCCCACCCCCACCCCTTACCCCCTACCTTCCACCGACCGCCCGATGCTGTGCAAGTGGGTGAAGGAGGGGTAGGCGGCATGAACCCCCTTCAGGTACGCCTCCAGCTCCTCGGTGTGGTGGTACTTGAAATCCAGCGCGGCCGCCACAGAAACCAGGCAGAGGATGCCCGCCACGTCCTAGAAAGGAAAGGATGAACCGAACCGACGCGGGAACCGGCGGGCTTGTCGCTGCCC